TATATATATATATACGCACACATACACACATGTATATACACGTACATACAGTGCACACACATATGCATCTACATATACCTGTACGTACCTATACATGTATATATATATATATGTATATATATATATATATGTATGTATGTATGTATGTATGTATGTATGTATGTATGTATGTATGTATGTATAAGTCTCCCGGCCCGACAATTCGTGCTCCAGTTAGGGGCCTTGCTCGGTGCGCATGCCCTGCTCGGTGCCTGACTCCTTTTTCTCTTACGATGGCAGTTACTGCTTCAGTGATGACGAGGCTTCGTTCAGCGGCAACGAGGATGAAGCTATGGACCCCGCTGGCGACCATGATGCTCCTGACCTGGACAGGCCAGCTGCTCCCGCACTGCCCCTGAAGTGGCGACACCTCCAATGGACAGAGCGACGGCATCAGCAGCCGCCGGACTGCCCTGAGCATCGCTGCTATCAGCTCCCGCACGACTACCTTATGGAGAAGATGGCATGTGTAGCACGCGCTGCATATACATCAAAACTCTGCGGAGTCATGCTGCCTGTGCGGCTGCATCCAATCAACGAATGCATTGCGCCAGGCCGTCAGGTTCCACAGGTCTACTATCTGGGGTTTACGGGTGAGCCAGACGATGCACCTCTGCCTGGAGGAGCTCAGGAATGGCACGCCAGTCGGCAGCGAAGCATCGGACATTACTGCATACATGAGGGAGTTGTCATACGAGTAGCAGTGATTAGAGCTGTGGGACAGGGTGGTGTTAGCTATGCCCTGGTGCCTGGCTGTCAGACGTCCCGGAGGAGCCGCTCGATCTGAAGGGCTAGGGGAGATCGGCCAAATCTGGTTGGCCGCGTGCTCGCCTCTCTTGCGCGTCTGCGCCGAGTACCGCCCAGATTTTCTCATGGGACACGGGCAAGCTAGAGTAGACACCCTGACCCATGACTCCCAGGTGACCGATCATGGACAAATGTGGCCCGTGACACCACCGGTAGTTTTGAGGCCGGGTGCAAACCAGACCGATCGTGTCTTCAGCGTGCAAGCAATGATCATCAGCTGGCGCAATCCGGCACAGCGCCGCGCGGCAGTGAACCTTCCGCCTGTAGTGCGGGTGCAAATAGGCAGGTTTTCAGATGACGGGGCCAAGATTAGGGGTAAGGTAGTCCTAACCCCACTAATCCATATCCCACTGTTTGTGGACAGAGGCATCCACACCACCTCAAGCCGGTACCTTCTCCTAGCAGTGATATATACTATCTTGGAGCCACCAAACACTCAAAACAATACAGAGCTGTGCCGTATCGCGATGGCACACCGCTTGTGGTGACGGACGATAATGTGGAACCAGCGCCGGTTACCGAGCATGACATGCAAGTTAATCATGAGAATTCGTACCTTGCTTTCTACTGCAAGATGTGACATTAATGTACATCCTAAGACAGAAGTCTAGGGCTTGTAAGACAGTTCGCCGGATACTGCTCAGCTCACCGCACAGGGGGTGTTCGCGCCGGGTGAGCAGACTGGTTATTCAATGTCTGATGTTATGTTAGGTATGTCTCATCTCATTTCCTATCCTCATGTTCCAATCGTAACAGTCAAAACGAGCAGTCCGGATCTTTTGCTGCACGGGGTGCTTAATCCGAGCATGCATCCATGAGATGCCGACCTTACTGGTCGCCCTTATCGCAACGCGAAGGCTTTCCTTTGCGGCGGTTGAAGAAGACGATATGTATGTCCGCAGGTTATAAGATACATACAAACGCATATACATACTTGTCTACATGTATATATATATATACACACACACACACATTTGTACAAGTATACCTGTATGCACATGTGCACTCACATATACATATGTACACACATACATACATACATACATGCATACATACACATGTATGTGTTAGTGAGCACACGCACTCATTTCTATACATATGTATGCATATATGTATGTACCAATATAGCAGCAAGTGCAGCGCGGCTACCAGTGCTTTGCAATGCAAGGGTGCTTTCACCCACCGACGCTGAATCAATCAATGAATCAATGAATCAATGAATCAGTCAATCAATCAAGCAATAGCACTTTGTGTTTGTATACGGTTATCATGCCGTAGGATAGGATTGCGGAGAGAAAGAAATAATTATTGATGTTTAGATACATGCATGCTCAAAGGCGCTGATAAATGGCCAGGCAGATGGGTACGCAGGTAGGTAGGTGGGTGGGTAGGTAGGTTGGTAAGTAGATCGATGATAATGCACATGCAGATGATGGATGTATGTATGTATGTATGTATGTATGTATGTATGTATGTATGTATGTATGTATGTAAGTATATGTGTGCGCATATATAGTTGTAATTTTATGTGTGTGTATATATATACATGTACACATGTATGTATGCATTCGTGTACGCATGCCTAAGCGTCTCGGCTTGATGAAGATGCCTCTGGGCCAGAAGAGCCAGAGGACAGTGAGCTTTGTGGTTTGGAGGCTCTTTTCAGAGGCCTCACTTTCTGGGGGCTGGAGATACACTTCAGGGTCTAGCATGCCATGGGCTCTGATGTCCTGGCTGCTTGGCATGGCTTCAACAAAAAGCCGCGCAATTTTTATGAGCCTGACCCTCTTGGGGAGTATGTCAAGCGGTTGGTCCTGCAGAGGCTCTACATTGCATGGATCCACCATTGCTTTCGACTGCAACTGCTCTTCCGAACCAGATGTGAGCAAAGATGGGCCGAAGCATCGGCATTCCAAACACTTTATGAAGGCTGGCTGCTCATGTCGCCCCAAGCCCAACATCACGTTCTTAGACAAATTGCATGGTTCTCCCCTGAGTTTGCGCTTGCCATGTTTCGTGTGGTATGTGTACGGCATGCTCATTTCCTGGAGCTCATGGACTAGAGGCCTAGGCAAAGGGCAGCGTGAAGTTGCTCGTGCAGTTCGAGGGGCCATCAGGCTCTTCAAGGCCGACTCCTTGACTACTTCCTGGGTCGCACAGGGCCTGTGGCTGCAGGTGCTCCTG